GGGGGTGACTTTACTAGACATCATTCAGAACATCACTCGAGACCACCCTTGGAAAAACTTCAAAAAAAAATCAAACAATTTGTGTTATAGTGACTATACTAATAATACAGTAGTTTTCCTTTTGGAGAAAGGTAGACTTGTGGTATAGTTACTAAAAAAATAATACAGCAACTTTTCTATTAGAGAAAGGTAGACTTGTGATATAACAAAAATAGATCCTGTATGAGAGAAATCACTCTTAGATTTTAAAAATCTACTACGCAGAAATTTTATCTTAATTCGATAATATCTTTCAACGATTAAACAGTTAAAAGAAACCAAGAAAACGCTTTTACTGCTGTAAAAGGTCAAACTATTATAAAAGACTTTTTAAAACTTACATTAAAACTAAAAAAACACCTACCCCTTAACCTAGACCTTCTAGACCAATACCTCCTTCTAAATCACAAAAACTAATACCTCCTCCTTGACCTATCCCACCTAGATTTCCATAAATTGTCGAACCGTCGACGCGAAAGCCAATCAAAGAAGCAATTTGCAACTTTTTAGTAAATTTAAATTTAATAAATTTAACTTTAATAATGTTAAATTGAATGATGAAGTTGAGGATTAAGAAGAAGATTTTGAAAAAGATTCAGAAAAAAACAGTTTACCGAACTTTAAAATTCACAGAGTAACTAAAAATAGCCAGCTCACAGATTATATAGATGAATTACTACAAGGTTCATAATCTTGAGTCTGACGCACTTATGTTTCTAAATAAGATATCAGTTAAAATTAATGAATTAATAGAAAGTAAAGTTAAGTAAGTTATGCTAAAAGTTTATAAAGCTGAACTAGAAAAAACTGCATTTAGTCTTCAAAATGTTTATGGTAGGGGATAAATCTACTCAAACTATAAAACAAACTGTGCACTTTCAATCTGATGTTGCAACCGTTCTTAATAAAAACGATATAAAACAAATGCTTGTAAATTGTAATATAGTCATAGATTCATACGATACCATAAAACATATTCTTTTTAAAGTTTTTAAATGTTCTATTAATCGAGGAATTTTCCCCGATCAATTGAAAATAGCCAAAATAACGCCTGTATTTAAAGGAGGTGAACCGTCTAATCTCAGTAATTATCGACCAATATCTATCCTCTCTGTTTTTTCAAAAATTTTAGAAAGAATTTTGTTTAATCAAATATCTAATCATCTTGCTTAAATATAGACTGTGTACTTATCTAAATATAACCTGTGGAGTTCCACAGGGATCTATACTAGGGCCCTTATTATTTCTAATTTATGTTAACGATCTCCATGAAGTCTCATAATTAACAACTATAATGTTTGCTGATGATACAAACCTATTCCTATCAAATAATAACATCGATAAACTTTTTTATGATATTAACATTGAACTAATAAAAATATCTGACTGGTTTAAGTTAAATAAACTTTTACTCAACATTGATAAAACTAAATGGATTTTCTTTCATCCACGATTTAAAAAACATTTACTTCCAAGTAATATGCCTCTTCTTCATATTGACAATATTCAAATAAAAAGAGTAGTTTTCACAAATTTTCTAGGTATCATTGTTGATGAAAATCTATTATGGAAGAATCACATCGGACATTTATGCAACAAAATTGCAAAAAGCATTGGAGTTTTATATAAAGCAAGAAGCGTTTTAAACAAACATTCACTAACTCAACTATATTACTCTTTCATACATTGTCATATTAATTATGCTAATATTGCATGGGGTAGTACCCATAAAAGTAAATTAAAGCCACTTTATTGTCAACAGAAGCATATTGCACGTATTATATATTTCAAAAATCGTTTTACTCACTCAAGGCCACTTTTATTTAACAT